CTTTTCACTGACAAAAAATGAAGGAAAAGTATTCATAGTCCCGAAGTCGAGTGGACCGCTTTTAGCGGGACTGCCGCTTAACTTTTTTTAGTTGTTATTTTATCCTGCAATCGATGCGAAAGCTATTCAACAAAGATTCAACCTTGTTGATTAGTCCTGGTTTTCACTGTAGGTCTGCCACAATATGATCATTTTAAGCCAACAAAAATTGATGTAGTACTTGTCTATCTATCTTTTAAAATAATAGGAAAACTCTTTGCATTTTCTACACTTTCAGAGGGGATTCTCAAAATTAATCTTTGTTAAAAGGTGAGATTCACAGGGAAATTTAGACAAAATATTAGAATTTCTCCTCAAACCCCCTCTTCTCCATATTTATTTAATGACGAGTCCCTAAAATTAATGGTCTAAACCTGTAAGGCAAGAAATGCCAGAGGGAGAAAACTCAGCCAAACGTTGATACCAATTTTTTTCCACTCTTTACACCAGATCAGATGGCCCTTTTTCTCAACACCAAAATATTTAACAAGCAGTAAGTCTTATCTTTAATACTAAAGACCATAAAATTATTAAGGGACCTCTCATCTATGCTGCATGAGAGATAAATCACATGGCCCATTTTCTCCAAACCAGAATAACTCATTATATTATTAAGGGCCCTCTGGTCTTATTGTTTTAAGGGAGAAATCAGATGTCTTTTTCCCAACACAAAAATAACTCCGAAGTCTTAACTTTAAATTTAATATGACAGGCCATAAAATTATTAAGGGCCCTCTGATCTATGCTACACGGGAGATAAATCAAAGGGCCCTATTTCTCAAGGCAAAAGAAAAACACTCAGCTAGTAAATTAATAACCTACCTTGCATGTTTTACCGATCAGGATGCATCTTCTACATAACTTAGGGAGATATTATGCGGTGTAAAACACGCACAAAATGAAGTAGATTGAATTCATCGCCCAAACACAAACTCAGCCAGCGACGCCAGTTTGTTTTTGCCGACAACTGCACGAAGATGAATTCAACGATCGTGACACTCGGTCCCAGTCTGAGAAGGAAAAAGGGCCTTCTCGTCTATCCCTTCAAGTTACTACGCAGGCGGCCCAGACGTTGTATACGATTAATACGTGGCATCATGCTGTTGGCGATTACGTTACAATTTTAGCCGTTTATAAGACAATGTATGAGAATGCTTCGAAAATTACTTTAAATGCTACGTGTAGAAAATAATTTGAATAAAATGGCTTGCTTTATGTTTGCATTGCGTTGTTTTAATGTCTCCGGGTTCGTGGAGGTGGTTTAGAGCCATTTAGGCGAGTCTTACTGGCCCGACGGCCCGCACTCAGAGCTCTGTAAATTGCACAAAAATGGTCTAATCTCGTCAGAATTGCCTCATGGTAGCCGTCGATA